TTTATTTTCTATTAATGTTCTACGTCATTTAGTAGCGATCAAATTGAATTCAGTTAAAAAAATTTTCTTCCGGTATTCGCATAATATTATTATCATTATTATTATTATTACTTATTAAAGTTAATAATAATAATGATGAATACTGTTTTTAAAACAGAAAAATCATTTTTCTATTACATTCATGTAAATTTTTTTATTTTATCTGACTGTTTTATGTTAGACCAAGTTCCTGTTTTTTTATATTATTATTATAATTACTATTTTTTTAAAGATGCTCAATAAAAAATTATTATTACTCATATAATCAACGGATTTTATACAAATTTTTTTTTATTAATTACTCCCGTAATTTTTTTAATCAAAGGATTAATAATTAATTTACGAGATTATTAATTAATTAATAATAAAAGGAAAAAAAACTTTCGTAAAATCCAATTAATTTTATCATAATATCGTATATATAAAGTAATAAATAATAAAAATAATTATGATATTATTTTTTTTTTGGTTTGCGAATTACTATTATTACACTGCAAAACTATCATCATTATTATCATTATTTTTATTATTATTATTATTATTAACGTCGAAATGCGCGAAAAATTAATAAAAAGTTATTATTATCTCAACAATTTTAAAAATAATTTTTTTTTTCTCGCGAATTTGTTTTTTTTAATAAATTTTTTTTAATTACACAAAAAAAAAAAAAATTTACTTAAGTTATCGTAAATATATTATATTATATAAATATATATTATTAAAAAAATTATAAAGTTATATTATTATATATATTATAAAGTTATATTATTGATAAGTTTATACGAAAAAAGAAAAGTGGGAAAAGCGAAGGGGAAAACAAATTCATAACTGTATAATCTTAAAAAAAAAAAAAAAGTAATAAATACTCAATACAATATATACATTATTATTGTCTTATACTATATCATTATTATTGTCATATGCTATTATTATTGTCTTATAATATTATTATTATTATCATTTTAAATTCATAATTAAATCGTTTATACTTTTAGTATTATTTTTTAACATTAAAAAAGATCGATTATCGATTATTATCGATTTTGATTATTTTTATATATATATTTTTTTTTTAATAATAATAATATATTAAAATGAAGTCATTCGACAAAAATATATTTTATATATTATTTATATTATAATATACTAAAAATGAAAATTTTTTTATTCGTAAATAATGTGATGTTAAAAAAAAAATCATTAACCGCATTTGTGGCCACAATATTTTTACTAAATTAAAGAAAAAACCTTTACATTAATAATAATATTTATTATTATTAATATTAATATTATATATTAAATTTCAATATATTTGTGTTTATATTATATTATTAATTGTTTTCTTTCGAATGTTTTAATTGTAATTTTTTTTTTTGTTTAAAGTTTTAAACTCATAGGACCGCTATTAATAATGGTAATAATATATCATGAAAAATTTTATGTATTTCCGCTTCAGTTTATGTATTTTTTAAAACAATGTAAGAGTCATGATAAAGTGAGTTTTATCAATCGTTATCGTCATTATTATTATTATTTTTTTTTAAACAACGATTAATAAAAAATCACTTACTTATTAAAAAAAAATAAATAATTCGATATTTAAAATTGTAAACAAAAGAAAAAAATTATTATTATTATTATTGTTGTATTGAGGGATGCATAATATATAAAAACGTTGTAAAACAAATCAATAAAAATTATACAACGACTAATAATAATAATAACAATAATTTACATTTTTAATTAAGGAAATTGCAAAAAATAAAAAGAAAAAAAAAAGTAAAATGACGGGATAAGAAAGAAACGATTATTGCTTAATATCTTGTTTATTATTATTATTATTATTATTATTATTATCATTATTATTATTTTTCGGCGTAATTATCAACAGGATATTTGGGTAAACGCGAAGTCTTTTATAAAAACGGATATATATAAAATATCGATTGCTTAACATCCACCAAAAAAAAAAATAAAAACGAATAGATTATCTGTTTATCTATCTTATCTATCTTAAAACTATTTTCAAATTATTCACAGTTTGTTGTTCGTTTGTTTGTTTTTTTGTTTACTACAACGAATAAAAAAATAAATAAATTGTTATAATTGTTTTTGTTAATAAAATATGGCAACGAAAAAAAAAAGGGAACAAATTTGCGGTTATAAAAATTGAAAGGGGAAAAACTTTTGATAAAAGGTCATCATCCGAGATCATTTTTTTTTTGTTCGCTTGCGAATGTTCTAGAACAAATTATTTTCATAAACAGTAGACAAATTGTAGTACATTCTATGTAAAAAAAACCGAAATATACAAATTTATTATCATTATTATTATTGGGTTTTTTTTTATGTTGGTTGAGAGGAAGGAAAAAGAGAAAAACTACTCGTAAAAAATATCGTGGAACTAGAAACATAACGAACGATAAATGAAACAATTACGTAAAAATATTAATAATCGGAAAGTTTTACATATAAAAAAAAATTATTATTATTATTATTATCATTATTATTATTTTAATTTTGTCGCATCATAATCGAGTGATATAATAATTAAATTAATATTTCAGTCGTAATAATTTACAAAAGGGGGCAAGTTTTTTTTTTTTTTTTATATTTTAGGAGATACTTTTAAAACAAATAATAATAATAATAATATGTTATATGATGACGTATTTGTAACCCGTTATTAAATTGTTTAAAAAAAAAAAACCGGATCCGAATCGTTTTTTTTTTTAATGTTAAACTTATGTTAATAATTTGGTTAATTATTTCCACGTATAATTAAGATGCGTCACAAAATTTTCCTTTTTGTTTTCCATGGGAGAGGAGAGGGTGGGAAGGGAAGGGACAATAAAATCGCATTTTCCACATTGTTCTAAATCGAATCATATTAATTAAAATAAAAAAATTTTTATCAAAAGGATAAAATGAAAGTCTATTAGTAACTAATAATAGATAATTAAAATCAATAACATAAAAATCGATCCTTGACGAACAAAAAAAAAAAAAGAAAAAGAAAAGCGTGAGCATTTAAAAGTATTCAAGGTTTTCCTTTTTCCTTTTTTCTTTTTTTTAAACATTCTCTAATTTTATTGAAAAATATCAAATATATTTTACGCCATTTTAACTCGTTTCCTTTAAACTTAACAAACTTTAAAACAATTCACTCGTTTCTTTTTTTTTTTTTTTTTAAATATTTTCCATCGTACTAAATAGAAAAATAATAATAATAATAATAATAATAATAATAATAATAATAATAAATAACTCTCTCCTATGTAAATAAATAATATTATCGATAATAAATAATAATAAATTGTATAATTATGACGTAAGCAAGTAATTACATTATTATTAATCCC